CAGCTGTCAGAGGCTGACAAGGAGGAAAAAAGGCTAGATGTGGGATTGTGCAAGTTTCTATATTACACAGCCAGCAAGATGATGTGCTTTCAGAGCTCTTTCCTTCTACAGATGCTGGCCTTGCTCCAAAAAACTAGACTATTCAAAACAGCAGACTAAGTTGCCAGAAAAATTTGTTTGTGGCAGGGCCTGGCTGTGTTAAATACCCTGACACACAGTTTTCTCTAGGATGTCTCAGCTTCCATTTCTCCACGTCTCGTTTACAGGGTTAAATTCAGATCAATAGCAGCAACAGAAGGGATATGTTTGCAGCTCTGAGCTGCAGGATGCTATTCCTAGGGAGGAAAACAAGGACTCGGTACTAATAGGCACCATCTAAATACACAGACCAACCAATTAAACAGTCTATATACATAACCTTCTCAGAAAGCCTTTGCTTCATGAGCCATGGTATTGCTTCTCAGACTACAGCTACTTAAAACCATAAACAAAAAATAGCCCTTAAAGCACTTTTTAATATGTAGGTAGAAAACAGATAATCATTTGGGAGACGTGTTCTCCAAGCCTATATTCAAATGAGTTTCGTACCTCTCCTGCTGGCTACCTTCATTTGCATCTGGGAGCTTTACTCCTGTTCTCCTGCATACCCAGAAGAAAGATAAGAGGGCACATTATGAACATCAGTAGGGAGGGCAGAAATTAGGCATTCACTGGTACACCAAGGAGGTTTCAGTGTTCAGTAATGAAGCAATAATCATCAAGGTAGATTAATGATTGTCTGAGAGAGTTCATCGCCTTGGGCCATTAACCCTCATGTGGTTATTAATTTTGCAAAAGACATCCTGTGCTGCTGAGGTCATTACTGCTGTTATTAACTAATGAAAGATAAAACATCTGAAGTTCCCTCTCTCATATATTTAGATATTCACACACCCATTTCTGTATTGTACATGTGCCTGATTAAATTGGTCATTTAAAAAGTAAACGGGGTAAGTGTGTGGGGAGGTCAGAGTACCCATAAGCCAGGCAAATTACCAGAGACTGAGCTCTGTTCTGCCAGCCAGTCTGTTTCCAGTGTCCCAAGCTATGTGATTTAGTAGGGCAAAAGCAGAGAATTGCCAGTAATTAAACCTTTTTCTTTGGTCCACTACAATAGGCAGAGATGTTGCCTATAGTACCACGAACTTCAGCCCCAAAGGGAGTTACAAATACCCGATGTGAAGCTGCTTTGTGACAGCAGCCACCTGCAATTTCTGTTGTTACACGATTTCAAGCAACAGGTTGCAAAAAAGCAATGTTGCAAGAAAGGCTAGAGTAAGCAGTGCTCCTCTGAGACATCATTAATCAGCTGGTGAATAGTCCAGGTCTCTCCACCGCCGTGCCATACTGTATTAGCACGTTGTTCTAAATAAGTGTAGGTCAGCGCAGGTTTGGTTCCACCTTCCCTTTATGTCCCTCCATCCCAAACATCAGGGGTAAACAGGAAGAATGACAACAGTGCAGATTTGCTTCCCAAGGAGGTAATGTCACAGAGTAAATTCTGAGTAAAACCAAGGTGCAGAGCCACCCTGCGTGTGGCTTCACGCCTCATTTCCCAATTGCTTTTGTGCCTGCTTCAGCCTACAGTGTATGTATTGGTTGCCTCTGCACTTCCTCGGCACAAGGGAATAGTCTGCTCTGAGCATTATCTGGCCCATTTCTGCACAGAAACGGTTCTTGTAGAGCAGTAAATATGGTGAAGAAAAATCCCTGTGCAAAACCCCAAGAGGTTCCTAGGGAAACTTAACTGTTAGAATAAAGATGATTCTGTGGGTGCCTAGGAAGACAATGATTCAAAAGAAGAGAACAAAATGCAATACTCGTGTCTCAAGCCTCTTCAGTTTTTGTTTTGACTGAAAGGTCATCAAATGGATAATAAAGTTGTCTAGACCACTTGAGTGTATTTATCTTAAAATCAAAGAGAAAAAGAAAATTCAGAGGCTTCCCTCTTTTATAAACACTGATCTTATTGCTTGCTGCTTTTTTCTCTCAAAGTAAAGGTAACAAAATCTTCTGAAGGAATTATTTAGAATACCTGTAAGCACAAGTGAGTGAGCTCTTCTGCATTTAATTTTGGTAGAATTTAAAAGATCCAGCTTTGTGTACATGTGTCCTGAGATACATTTCAGGTCACTGTCTCTACACATGCAGTTCTAGTGCTTCATCAAGCCAGCATCAGTAGCTGCTTCAGCTGAGCTTCTTCCTTCACAGCCTTTTCTCTTTAATTTTACTTAGTTCTAGCAATATTTTTCCTAAAAATACATTTCAGGATCAATGTTTTGGAGACATGTGAAGTATAAGACAACACAGGAATCCATATGAAAGCAGGAAAAAAAATCCTGCTCCTAACCATGCTCAAACTAAAGCAACTCACTAACAGAGGAACAAACCATAATGACAAATATTTAGTAAAACAACTCTTTTGAAAGCTATTTAGCTTTAAGAAAAGACCATGAGCTTCACAGGCTGTACATGTAATTATGAATTTAACAATATTAACATTTAATATGAACACAACGCTCCTCTCAACAGGCCTGGGGAGAAGATGATGAATGGCTCAGACGGGCAGCGAGCACAAAGCTGGGTAGGAAGAGAGGCCTACGGAAACATGAGGCTAGGAGCAACCCAGCAGTGTTTGTGTGTGGTGTGCGTTTACTCTGGTAGGAATGATAACAGAGATGAACCCAGGCAAGGGGGGGATTACATTAGGGTACCCAACACGCCTTGCTTCCACACAGCCACCCACGGCTTCTACATTTGTATGCACCCCCAGCTGCAGTGAAATGCAAGTGGGGCTGCTTTAGGAGAAGAGGTATTCAGTCCTCCGAGAAGTAAAACGCCTCTGTGAACCTGGGAGCTCGGTGTTCGCGAAGAGGCTATGGCACAGAATTCTAGATGAGAAATATAAGAGCAGGCTGGAAGAAATATTGTCAATGATAAACCAAGACTGTGTTTTATGTTGGGTTTACTTGTGATCTTTCGTTTCCAACCTTGCCCAGAAAACCTTGACCTCCAGTCGTGTTAAATCTTTTCTTTGTTTATTATTAAACTTGCCTACTGTTTGGGGGCAAGGTGAATCAAGATAAAAATCAGCAAGTTCAGGAAACTCTCTTCTCAGAGACAGCGAATCAGGATAATGCAGAAGTTGCCGAGCCTGAGAGACTCAAACCTTGAGCAACCAAGGGTTGAGGTTACCTTTCCATGTATGTAACACCAGAATGAGTGGCTGTATTAACAGGTTCTCCTACTGGCAGGAAAAAAAAAAAAAAAACATCCTTATACAAGGAGACAGCTGAGAAACGCCTCAAAACTCCAAATAGACAAAAAACTTCATGGAGAGGGGAAGAAGCGGTGGGAGGTCCCTGGCCAAACAGAGAAACCAGAGGAACAGGTTCATAGAAGGGCTCGGTACAAATTCTGATTTCTGGTCTGAGAGACAATTCTCTGAAGTTGGCTCTTTATCAGGTAAGCAAGCAGCCAAAAGATGGCACGGTGCTGTTACCACCACAGAGTCAGAATTGCCATGTTTAGAATCATCCTAAGTAAATATCGTAGGTACAGGATAGGTTCAAAAGCAAACATGTTGCCTAAACTACTCTTTTAGAAATTAAGGAATGGCTGATACTTCTGATAATAAAGTAAATTACATTGTCACACAGCATACATTTTAGGTGTCAGGCTGTAGACAGACAAGACACACACGTATACTATAATCATGTGTTTAATGATGGTAGAGATGGGAAAGAAAACGCTCCTCCATTGACAGACAGTTAAATAGGAGACCTATCTATTTGCAAGGCAGCATCGATTCAAATTTCTTGAAGTCAGTGAGAGAGTCAATCATGCTCAAAGAGAATTAGTGGAGCCGCCCCAACTGTCAGATTTGATGAGGAGTAACAATGGCTCCAAATTGAAATATTCCTCAAGTTCTCAACACATCAGGTATGATTTACACAGTTCATTTTTATCCCTAACAGAACACCAAGTCCATTTCCCTACCGGACTTTTCCACCTAATCAGCATGTTTTTGTTGTTAATTTCATTTTAATTGTTTCAACAAGACCAATTAAGTATGACAGGAATCACTCACCTTTCTCCCATAACAAAACATAATTTAAATAAACCCCCGGTAGAGTGGCTTTAAGAATAAGTTATCTGCAGCAATGAGGAGTGGAAAGGCCACTTTCTAAGATAGCAATGCTGTAGGTTATTAAACCACTGGCAGCTAGATCTTGTCCCTTTTGCTCATGCAGTTGTACTGCAGGACAAGGGTGAGGCAAAATCAGCACAATCTAGTTCATAGAATCCAAAATGAGGCCTTGAAGAGATAAGGTACCTAAACCCAAGATCCAAAATACACCTGCTCACACGGCTGCACGCAGACCAACACTGCTTCACCTCTTCCTTCACCCTTTCTCCTACCTAACCCCTCTCCCACAAAGTTTTTAAGACTCTTCTGATCACTACAAGCCTGGAGAACAGTTGTGATCACAAAGGCAGTAAGTGAGCAGTAAGCAATCATATGTGATCCTTCGTACTGTCAGGACACAGAGGGCATCGGCCCTCCTCACCCCCAGACTCCAGAGCAGGCAGCACAGACTACAAAGCCAGTTCCAAATAAACTTTTAAAAATGGCATATTCCACTATTATTATTTACAGGTGCTGCTCATCTGAAGACTTCAGCTATTGGAATAACAGACTGCTTTGTTCTTCTGAAAAGATTTTGTTAAAGCCCACTTTAACCATTTGCAGCCATCGCAGCTGACATTCGCCTTCAGGTTAAGACATGACTTCAGAGCTGACAACTTAGCAGAAATCACAGCAGCACCCACCTGAAAAGCTTCTGAAGATCAGAACTGCAAAGCCTTTAACAGTCTGCAGTTTCATGTATTTCTGCACTCTGTTAGTTAAGTAAATTACCCTTCCTCCCTCCCCTCACCCCAACAGGTACTGTATTTACCTGGTAGCACTGATGAGGGAAGTGCTCTCTTTTTCACCCACCCCTAGAGTTTTCTTTGGGGTTTCTGATAATGTTTGTACCAATGAAGAAAAAAAAAAAGCCTCTTGAAAAGCACTGAGAGGCCTCAGCTTCTGCTTTCCCTGCTGCTTTTTCTTATGATCTATGTAAATATTTACACATATATACTCTTTATAATCTGTTGAAGCACCAGAACAGTATGTGCAACTTCTCGAGCCTGAAGCTACTGGTAACAGGCAAAGACTGTTCAACACCTGCCATACTTAAGCTTTGCATTATGTCCATCACCTGCGGCTCCACGATACACAAGCACCAGCAATACCGCTGCAATCAGCAGCCTCCCCCGGGGAGCGCTGATACCATTGCTAGCAGCTGGGGACTCGGTTAGCCAGCAGCAGAGGTTTCAAGGGCAATCACGCCACTGGGGTACAATTGTTTTGGATTATATTGGTGAGCTTTATCCAGGATTGGTCTCAGGTGGGGGCAACATACTCGTGCTTTTAAACAGATCATATTTTCAAAAAAAAAATCTGGAATAAGAAAAAAAAAACAAAACACGAACTCTTTATCCTGGTGCTCTATGGGAAGCAGTAAAGGGCACTTTTTTATTCTTCTTCTGTGTTTAAGCTTTCCTTCTTCCTCAAATGTAAAGTTTAGTGAAAATAGTTGGATTTACAGGTTCATTTTTTCTAAGCTCTCTCCCCCAGGTTCAAGCCAGGTTGAGAATAAATAATTGAATAATTTCCAAATGAGCAAAATAAGCATACATGCACTGCTCTCAAATAATTTTACAAACAGGATATAAAGAAAAAACTCAGGCTTATTGACAAAAAAAAAAAAAAAGCAAAACGGTAATCAAAGGGGAAGAAGATAGCAGGAATTAATTTTTATTACCCAAGAGTAAATGGTGATAGTGAATCAAATACATTAGAGGAATCTTTTTTTTTGAATATACAATTCATTTTCATAGTGTCATCACCCAAAAACGTAATTAACGTAACAGGTTGGAAATACAGCTTTAAATAAAGACGATTTCCTGTAGCAGTCTTTGAAACAAAGATGTATTTCTGCTTTAATCCTGGATTGAAGACCTGGTTTTAATTTCCATAGAAATGAGATTCCTTCCTGGTGGCAGAGCTGACTGTAAGTACACAGTAATGTAGACCTGAGAGAAAGGACTCAAGTTTAATGAAAATTTAAACAGACTGTAAAGAAAATAAATTATTCCCATTATCAGTAAACAAACAGTTTGCATTGTTCTTCCTCCTTCCTTCACTCCCCTTCTCTACTGTTTGACAATCTCTGTGTGCTGACCTGCCAGGGCAGCGGCTGCTGTTGAGAACAGCCCGTGCACAGCCAACCAAGAACTCTCTGCACTCCTCTGTACTGTCAGTGTCGAGAACAAGGCTATTTGGGCCCTCTGAATTTCCACGACTTGCTGCTCCCAGCAAGGCAAACCTTTCTCATGGGAACAGTCTGATTTATCATTTCTTGCATGCTATCAAACTCTCTCAGATACAGATTGTAACGCACACCACCTCTGCTGCAAAACTGGAATTTCATTTCTATGGAGTTGGGTTGGGCCATCCACCCGGAATAAAACACACGCTTCTACACGTGCTTGCAAGGACAAGACATTCACTTCTTGCTATTAACTGGCATTTCAGAAATTCAGCTTCAGTCATTTAATCAGCCTTTGGAAACATTTCTTTATTGTATCAGTCTCCATTAGCACAATAGTAATTAAAAACTGAAATTTACTCTAGGTTTGTCTTGAGGATTTGGGGGTTATTGTTTATTTCCCTATACTAGAATCACCAACTTTGAGGCCCCAGTGGTTGTATCTTAGTGGGAAGAAATCCAGAATTGCTGACACTGCCTTTCGCCAGGGCATGAGAATAAATTGTTTCATTGTTTGTTTTTAAATGTACAGGTCTGAGTCTGAGGCTAATTAAACAGAAGCTTAGAAGCGCCTGAGACTTAAATTTTAATAAAAGCTAAAGGGGAAAGTTCCTTTGGGAGTTTTGTTGACAAACTGCTTAATTATTGGTTTCCAAAACTACTTTAGAACTTGAGATAACACTTTTTAAAGCCTTTAAGAACTTAACATTTCATTAAAACAGAAATATTTAGTGCCACAATCTGCATGCAAGTTAATGAAAGTTTTGTGCCCAAGAACTTGTAAAAATTATGACATATCTATATTAAGACATCAAATATTTCTAAAAATCTAGTTATTTGTAGCCAGTTATTTTGAAATGTTGATTTATAACAATTTAATGAAGGCAAGAGGAACGAAACCAAAATGTTTTAAGACCAATGATTTCTACCATAAAACGCAGTCTTCTCCCAGCTTTAGTGAAATACACAGAAAAACCTCAAGGCAAATCTTTAAATGCCTTTAAAATATTTAAATCCCTTTAAAACCATTTTTCACTGGTATCCAGAAAGGTACTTCTGGATAGAAGAATTAACTTAAAGAATTAGCAAGACAAGTTTACTTTGGGGATGGCCTTGTTTTCTAGGTCTGGTCTCATGCCTCCTTTTTTATTATTATTTTTTTATTATGTTACAGTAGTTTTACAGATGTCTTGAAAAAGAGCATTTTATGGTGGTCATTATGTCGGGCAACAGAATAACCCTTTAGAGATTCAACAGACCAAGCTAGCATTGCTGATGAGTGAATACCTAGCCCATCTCCCACCTATACCATATACTTGTAAAGAAAAACTGAATGGAGTATAATTTGAATTAGTTGACCTGAGGGAAAACTGTTACTGCAAGAAGTGCTGAACAAAAATTACTTTTTTTTTTTTAATAAAACCTATGTGTATGTATAGCATAAAAGTTAGATCATTCATAAACTTGAAAAAAAACACCCTTAAGTTCTGCTACAAAACTGACCAACTGGCCTAACATGACTTCAGTGTTTTACATTGGATTTATTTTTGTACAAGAAGAGATCCTTTCAATCTTTAATCATTTCTAATGTTGACTGACAGAGACAATGAGTTCAAAGCAGTAAATTCTATCCTTACGGCACCATAGGAAGAAATGGGACAGCTCTCATTGTGTCTGAACCTTCTGATGAACAAGGGAGCTATCAGACAAGGAACTGCGGTACTTAAAAATGAGATCAATTAGCTTCCCTCTGAAACGCCTTACAGCTTACTTAGATGACCACATTCACTGGAACAGGAGGTACCTATCGCTATCTAACAATTGTGTACAAAGCTTAAAAGAATTGATTGAAAACTCGTAACATTCAATAGCCTCCCTGTAATCAGGCACAATCCTTGTACTGTCACATGCCACAGCACTGAACAGAGCTAGCAGCAGAAAAACCACTGACGAGCCCTACAGAAATCCAACAAGACAATCATTTCAGCATTAATAGGTTCTCTTCCTAACAGAATTAGAGCCCATGTTGGAGTAAGTAGCCCCATAATACCAGATGCTTTCCATTTCAGCTCACCAAATTACTGCAAGAGGTTCTCCACTATTTATTAGATAATTGTGGGTCCTGTCGAGTAAATACCTGGCAGCGCAGTGAGTTCTCATTTCAAGGAAGCCCTTCTCAGAAAAGTAAACAATTTCTTCACAACAGGAAAAAAAAGAAAAAAAAAAAAAAAAAGAAAAAAGGACCAATTGAGGAGAAATACTGCCAGGAAAAAGAAGAACATTTTCCATCTGATAATGGCAATACCTGTGTGTTCTGCTGGTTTTGTTCGTTTCACCAGAACTGCATTGTCTTGAACTTGCTTCTCAGAAAATCCTGCCCACTTTTGGAATTCTCTGCCAAGCTTCCTCCTTGCCACGAAGGAGTCACTTGGGAACCTGAAGGTTCCATTTGGTCATTTTGTTTTGTTTTTCAAACCTCCCTGTGCAGTATTTATTACTGTCCTCATCGCACCATCTCTACACTCACACTGTCCCTTCTGTCTGTAACACTGATACTGACTTCCAGAAACACCGTCACCTGGACGTAAATTATGAGAAATCAATTGAAACCAAATGAGAAATGGCATTTTATTTCCAATGTTTAGCATAGTTTTCTTCTCTGTAATACCATTTGAGCAAAAAGCATGCATCTTCATTTCTTTTCTGATGGGTACTTTCTTATTCCTTACCTTATCATGTGCTAACGTCTAGCCATTACTGCCTGGAGGCTGAAATTGAAATCAGAGTCATAACTGTATTTCCATTGACCAATGAAAAAATATTCCCTGACCTACGACAGTTTTAACAACTGATGCCGTAAACTGAGGAAAAAAACACCTCTTCTCACTAATGGAAAACTAACAGAAATTTGCCACGGAACACTACAAAACAGGAGAAGAAAGCAGTGCCCCTACCAGTTTCTTAAATACAAACTCTTCCTTACTGTACTAACTAGCATTTTGGTTTGGGATATAACTTTTCTTTCTCATCCCTTTCAAAAGGGAAATAATAATAATAAAAAAGCATTGTTGGAGATCCTCAGTGTTGCTGTTCCTAATTTAAAAAATAATTTCAGTTCAATTTCAAAACACAACAGATGTACTTTGTTGCTTACCATCACCCTGTATTGATATTATCACACGCCAATTTAACAGCAGAGCAGAAGTATAATTCTTTCACCTCAGAGCAGAGGTTAATTTCTGCTCTTTGTGTTGATTTTGCAAAAGCCAAAAGTCAGGAGCAAATGTGTTACCAGACTAACCTTCTTCTTTCGTTCGTCAGTCACACCCTCTATCAAACAGATTATTGAATAGCAATCCAACCATAATGAGGTAGTGATTAACAAAACACAGTGCTCCCGTAGCAAAGCACAGAGTAAAACTCTTGCATCTCAATTACCGAGCACAGGCAAACAGCAACCTAGTCATTAAGCAGGGCCCCACTCTGCATGACTGATATTAATGTAATATTAGACTAGCAGGTGCTGCTCTGCTCTGTTAAATCTTCAGCAAATTCAATTTAGTACAGAAAATAAACAGCACACTTGTTCCCCTCAACAAATATTTGCATATTTTCCTTACTAAATCCAGAGTTTACAGATCTATCTGGGAAAAGACACAGACAGGCAAAGAGAGTTGATTTTCAGGTCATTTGAATGTCAATTTAGTGGAAGAAACCCTCTGCGCAGAACGATGCACAGCCAGCTACCACGGGCTCTTCTGCCACTACTTTTGCACCAAGTTTTACATGAGGGGGAAAGCAGCACCTAGTACATTAACAA